GAACCAAATGCTATGCTCCCTGATCCCCAACTGGAAGTGAAGAGGGCGGGGCCAGGCCAACTGGAAGGTGAGGGACGCCTGTGGTGCTTTTGGGGCGATGCCGTGGAGCCTCCTGAGAGCAGGACCCAGGCGAGGGGAGCCAAGCGTCTGGGGCTGTAGGAGGGGCACCAAGCCTTGGCAGTGCTGGTTCACCTCAAAGGAGCAGAACCTGTGTGTTAGAAAGGAAGGACGCCCTGGCTCTTGACTCTGGAACTGGCTTAAATGAGAAGAAAGGTCAACGGTCGCATCTCTGCTGCTGAGGAGCATGGGAGAAGCGGAGTGCTTCCGGAGTGTCTAGCTCAGCTGCCCCTCTGCTGGTTTGCCTAGAAAGGAAAAGCTCTTTTCTGGGGCTGGTGGGGAGGTGTCTGTTCTGTCCACATCCACGGGCATTTCCGTGTCATGAGTTCTTTCGGCACCCCATCTCTAGGTATCAGGGAGGCAGAAAAAGAAAACCCAGAAGTTCCCTGGCGTGTTGTTCCCCACATCCCAAGGCCCCCGGCCTGTCTGCCTCCTCTCCACCATTCAGAATGTTCTTACATTTGTTTTACATAACCGGCCTTACTGGGAGAGACTGGGAGCAACGCGTTGACTCTGTCTTGTCTAGAACCAGAAGTATTCCTGTATTTCATATTTTTATGTTTTATATTTTAGAAAACACGTGACTCAAATATAACAAAATACCAAGATTTCTTTAATCTGGAAGGCAGAGAAATGCTGTTTATCTCACTCTCAATTTTCTGTTGATGGCCCACTGAGAAGTGTGGTGCTCACTGACTCACCCCTCTTCACTCTTTCCTTCCTTACTCACCCACCCAACGCCTGCTGTGCACCTCCAGGCCCCAGGTACACAGGTAAATGGACAAGATACTTCCCAGAGGCTTCCACACTTAAGGGAGAAGCAGACATCAGACGGAAGCCGAGCAGGAGTCCTCTAGCAGAAGAGGTCCAGACGCTCTGAAAGGCCTTGGCTGGGACTTAATCACGTTCTCTGAGGAATGGCCTTTGGGCCCGGCCGGGGGCTTCGCAGGGAAGGCCCCTCTCAGGTGAGCCTGGCCCTCACGCAGACCCCAACCTCTTTGCACAGTGGCACCTTTCCTCCTATTGCAAGCTCTCTCCTTCCAATCACCACCTCAGAAAGGTCTCTGAGACCAGTCTCTCTTGGCTCTGAGGATGAGGGGAAGCCATACCCCAGGCCCACTGAGGAAAGGCTGGGCCCAGCACCCAGGAAGGCATTCTGGTAGCCAGTGAACCTGCTTGCCCCGGACAGAGGGCATGGCTCCCCAGGGGTGTGTGGCAACCATGGCAACTGAGGTCCCCACCCATCCCCAGGCCAGGCCCTATTTTCTTCAAGCTTAAATTAGTATAAAGAACAAAATGGCCCTGGGGAGGTAATGGCCTGGCTCAGGGATGCTCCCTCCCTCCCCTCTCTGAAAGACACTGGGTGTTGTCACTGGAAAAACCCTCCCCCACAGTCTGGCTGCCGCAGGAGATCCACCCGTGTCCTCTTCCCCCTGGCCCATGTACTCGTGGCAGTCAGGGCAAACAGGAGCACCCCCACCCCGGGGGGAGCCCAGCAGGGAGCTCGCTGCCAGGCCCTCGAGAGAGAAAGCCTAGTGCTGAGGGGTCCCGGGCTCCAGCCAGCTCTCTGCACACATGGTCTCATTTGACTGGGCTCAGGGTCATTGCTTTTCAGCTGAGGAAACTGAGGCCCTCAAGAGTAAATAACTTATTAGGAGGCTGGTGGGGAGTGGGCAGTTTGAACACAAATCTGTCTGGACCTTATCCCTGAGGAGCCCCAGCCTGGGCCCCAAGAACCCCATGGAGATCTGACTGCAGTTGTCAGGGACAGAAGGTAGGTCTGGGGATATTTCCCCATCCTTTAGCACCTTCTTCAAAGGCTCACATCTGCTTTCGTGGGTACAGGTAGCTTCTTTTCACTTCATAACACCAGTTAAGGAAGCTGCTCTTCCACGCCAGGCATGTGGGGCGCACAGAGCGAACAGGCGTGGCCCGCCGCCACAGTGAACCAAGAATCTGGAGCAGGGCGAGCCGAGGGGCCAGGACTGAGCACACCTGGGATGCCATGTAAGTTCCACCAGGCCTGGGAAAACTAGTGGAGGCCAGGCCATGCGGAAGAGCCATTTAGAATGGCTGTGATTTTAGAGAAGCTAAATGCCACTCGGTGGCAGCACCGGGCAGTTCACCCCCAGCCCTGGGCAGAAGTCCCAAGAGTGGCTGCGCCTGCCGAGTCCTGGGTGCTGGGGCTGTCCTACACGGGCACTCAGTGGATCCAACTATAATAAAAGTATTTAGCACGTCCATGGCCCCTAATAGCCAGGAGCAGGTAAGATGCCTTCATGCAGCACGGGGGCATTTCCCAGCCTACACGAGGGCACACAGGGGAGAAAGGCCAGGGCCCTCATCAATGTGGAAGAGCCCTATCACACCCAGCCCACCAGGGGCCCTGTGTCCTCAGTGGGGCTGGGGACAGACCTTAACTGAGAGGTGGCTCAGCTGTGCCAGCCCCTAGGGAGACAAGGCCCTTCTGCACTGGGAGATTCCAGTCCACAAGGCCGCCGGATAGAGAACGGGGCTGTACCTCTGAGCAGGGAGGCCCCTTGATGAGCGGGGACATCCCGGACAAGACGAAAGGGAGCCTGGACGCTCACCCACCCTCAGCTCCTAAGGCTGAAGCTGGCTGTGGGGGCAGGTCCCACGCACTCCAGGAAGGATGGGCAGGAAACTCCAAGTGGGGACTCGGTGCCGGGCTTGCCTACCTCCACCACCCTCCCACGTGCTGTGCAACTTTGGGCCAGTTACAAAACCACTCTGCACCTTGGCTTCTCCATTTTGAAAGGGTGTAAAATAACAGTACCTGCCTCAAAGGATAATTGGGAGATAATTCTGCCCAGCACACACCAAATACACAATGAATGTTGTTAGTTGCATCTTTGTGTCCATTAGCAAAGATGTCAGCCTGGGGCTCCTACCTGGAATCACTTTGCTACATTAAGTGACTGGTTCCTATTTGACTCACTGTACAGATGACTGGGCAGTTGAAGGCTCCTGGCTCCCCTCCCAGCCCCGTCCCTCGCCCCCCTCGAGGCAGGATAGCTTACCTATGGTCCTTCGGAGGTCTTCGCACTGGCTGATGTGAGGGAACTTAAGGATTTCCTTCCACTTCTTGCTTTTCCCTTTGCGCTTTCCTCCTCCCCCTGCAGAGGGGAAAAAGGTGTCAGGCTGATGGTGGTCTTGCCCATGGCTCCAGAGCCAGTGTCCCATCCTAGTGAGCCTGTCCCCCAGCTTCAGGGGTGGGAGATAGCCAGGGACCTGGAGGTCAAGACACCCCCCAGGCATACACACTGTCTCCCAGCTGGCAGCAGGCTCTGCCGAGTCCTGGGTGCTGGGGCTGTCCTACACGGGCACTCAGTGGATCCAACTATAATAAAAGTATTTAGCACGTCCATGGCCCCTAATAGCCAGGAGCAGGTAAGATGCCTTCATGCAGCACGGGGGCATTTCCCAGCCTACCCGAGGGCACACAGGGGAGAAAGGCCAGGGCCCTCATCAATGTGGAAGAGCCCTATCACACCCAGCCCACCAGGGGCCCTGTGTCCTCAGTGGGGCTGGGGACAGACCTTAACTGAGAGGTGGCTCAGCTGTGCCAGCCCCTAGGGAGACAAGGCCCTTCTGCACTGGGAGATTCCAGTCCACAAGGCCGCCGGATAGAGAACGGGGCTGTACCTCTGAGCAGGGAGGCCCCTTGATGAGCGGGGACATCCCGGACAAGACGAAAGGGAGCCTGGACGCTCACCCACCCTCAGCTCCTAAGGCTGAAGCTGGCTGTGGGGGCAGGTCCCACGCACTCCAGGAAGGATGGGCAGGAAACTCCAAGTGGGGACTCGGTGCCGGGCTTGCCTACCTCCACCACCCTCCCACGTGCTGTGCAACTTTGGGCCAGTTACAAAACCACTCTGCACCTTGGCTTCTCCATTTTGAAAGGGTGTAAAATAACAGTACCTGCCTCAAAGGATAATTGGGAGATAATTCTGCCCAGCACACACCAAATACACAATGAATGTTGTTAGTTGCATCTTTGTGTCCATTAGCAAAGATGTCAGCCTGGGGCTCCTACCTGGAATCACTTTGCTACATTAAGTGACTGGTTCCTATTTGACTCACTGTACAGATGACTGGGCAGTTGAAGGCTCCTGGCTCCCCTCCCAGCCCCGTCCCTCGCCCCCCTCGAGGCAGGATAGCTTACCTATGGTCCTTCGGAGGTCTTCGCACTGGCTGATGTGAGGGAACTTAAGGATTTCCTTCCACTTCTTGCTTTTCCCTTTGCGCTTTCCTCCTCCCCCTGCAGAGGGGAAAAAGGTGTCAGGCTGATGGTGGTCTTGCCCATGGCTCCAGAGCCAGTGTCCCATCCTAGTGAGCCTGTCCCCCAGCTTCAGGGGTGGGAGATAGCCAGGGACCTGGAGGTCAAGACACCCCCCAGGCATACACACTGTCTCCCAGCTGGCAGCAGGCGCAAGGGCTCTTCCTGCAAGGTCGGGCCTGTGTTCTCCCCACAACAGTGGTGGACAAGGCCCTCCAGTCGTCCAGGCCTGAGCCCGCACCAGGCACCCTTTTCTTCCTCAGCATCTCCCACTGCTGTTGGCCCCCACTGGGTGTCTGCTGGGCCCCAGACTGGACCATAACCCTCCAACAACAGGGACCAGGCCTGTTGGACTTAGTATTCCCTTCAGGCTCGAGAAATCCTCATGAAATGGGTGCAAACAAGTGGCCGGCAGCCCGCTCACCACCTCATGTCGCCCTCTTGTTTTCTATGGAGAGTCCCTTTCCCCAGCTGGAGGCTGGATGTCGGGGACAAGGACTTCCATGTCCACAGGCCTTGGGTTCTCCCTTCTCCATTCTCACAAACGCTAGGGTCTCAGAGGAGGCATTTCTCAAGGCTGGAAGGACTTCTGAAGGGCCCCACCCTGCCTCCCGTCCTCCCCAGTGTGCATGTGTAATGAACACACAAACACAATGCCCACGCACATGAGGGGCACATGCATGTAACACACAATGAATATGCACACACAGTGAACACAGATGTCAGTGGGCACATGGAGCTGAGTAAGACGCACGCACAGGGCATTCCTAGCATCTGCACCACTCCGTACCCTGTGTGACAGCAGACAGATGTCAGGACACTCAGGTATGCAGATGGCAAGGGGGCGCTGACTCTGGCCTAGGTGTGCCTGTGCCTACCAGTGCTTGGGCCTTGGACCTGGAGCCACCTGTGTCATGAGGCCAGGACCCCCCAAAGACTGTCAGCCCAGCCACCCCATCCCCAGAGCGGCCCTTAGATTCCACATGTCCATGACTCACTAAGGGTCACATGGCCTTTTAGGCTCCTCAGTGTCTCAGGAGGATACTGAGAGGCCTTTCCCTCCTCCATGTCAGGCATCCCAGGCATGTGCAAAGTTTGGGGCCCACTTAAAAGGCTGTAGGACCTTGGGCAGGGCCTCCCCTAGGCCTGCTCCCAGTTCGGGGTGGGCAGAAAGCCCCTCCTGTCTCTAAACCCCCCAGAAGGGGACTGGGCATGGCAAGGCCCCTCCCTCCAATGGGTAAACCCAGGAACACCAGAGGAACTTGGCTCTGGGCCTACCTCCAGTCCAGAGTGTGTTCTGGGGTTGGCATGGAACTGGTCTCAGGGAAGGGGGATTCGTAACTGTCATCCAAGCTGTCTGGGAAAGCTGAAGCACGTTGGGACCAGGACCCAACCTTGGCGATGGGAGAAGGAGGAGGAACTGAAGGGGGAGAGGCAGGGCAGCAGGCGCCTTCCTCTGCTCCCCGCTTGTCCGGTCTTCAGCCTGGCCCGCCAGTCCCTTCCTCTCAACTCTCTGCAGAAAGCAGAGGCCTCAGACTCCAGTGGCAGAACAAATATGTACTGGGTACATGCTATGGCCAGGCACCATCTGAACATTATCTTGTTCAAGCCTCAGAATGGCTCTTTGAGGAAGAAATCACTGGGCCAGCATCACAGATGCAGAAACAGATGTCTGAGATTGCACAACTTGCCAGCTGATGGCCTGTCCAACTCCACATGTGCAAGTTCCTCTAGCCAGGGCTGGCCCTCATGTGCACACACACGCACACACCACAGAGCCCTTCCACAGGCCCTGCCCTGGGCCAAGCCGTGCACGCACACTTGCCTCAAGTCCTCACTCTACCTCTATGAGGCGTGGCTATTATGATTCCCCCTCAACAGATAGGGAAACTGAGGCATGGGGAAGAAAGAAGTCACCTATGGCTCCAACAACTCATTGGTGGCAGAGCCCAGGGCCCAGCCCGAGCAGAATCTAGACCTTGGGCATTCATGCTCATCCTTCTGTCTGCAAACCTCCCTTTCAGCAAGAGGGGCAGGAATGGGGATCTCTCTAACTGGGCCCAAGTCTGCAAGCTCTGAGAAGATGCCACCCCAGACCCGGAGCCTACAGAGTTGTTCTGCTTGACCCACATGTGATTGTTCGCTTGCTTGTCCACCAGGCCAGTTGTTAAGATTTAAACATTCGAAAATTTCACATGCAAGTCTGGATTTCAGACTTCTCACCCATATCCAGGCATCCCACATGGCAAGAAACAGCTGGAGCTTAGCAGCTGCTACCCAGTGGACAGGCGATGTGGCCTCCGTTCAAGCAGCCTGCCTGGTCCATAAAGGCCAGTATGTGCCCCCTCCCCCTCCAGAGAAGGGCCTCCATCCCAAGACACCAGCAAAATCAATGCTACTCACAGGCCAAGAGGCCTAAAAGGGCCATTAGAACTCATCTAACCCGTGACACCTCCCGCTCCCCCATTTACACACTATTCATTCCCAGATCTGGCTCCCAGTCCGGTGGCATTCAGCGGATTCACATCATTGTGCAACCCTCACTACCATCCATCTCCAGAACTTTCTCATCATCCCAAACTGGAACCCTGATCCCATTAAACACTAACTCCCCCCTCCCCCAGCCCCCAACCACCACCACTCTGCTCCCTACCTCTATGAACTTTACTCTAGGTACCTGCTTTAAGTGAAATGATACAATTTGTGTCCTTTCGCACCTGGTTTATTTCACTTAGTCCCATGTCCTCAAGGCTCACTCACATTGTAGCATGTGTCAGATTTCATTCCATTTTTAAAACTGAATAATATTCCATTGTGTGTATAGACCATATTTGGCTTATCCATTCACCTGCACATGAACACTTGAGTTGTTTCCACCTTTGGGTATTGTGACCAGCTTTGGGTATATATATTGTTTCCCCCTTTGAGTATATATGTATATACATATATACACAAACACACACACCTAGAAGCAGGAGTGCTGGCTCATACAGTAATTTTCCTTTTTGAGTTACTGATGAAGCCTTTTTGCCAATACAGACCACCAGGCTGCACCTCACTATGCTGTACCCCAACTCTCTGTGATAGGAACCCAGGGGTATGACTTCTTAAAGGGCTCCCCAGGTGATTCTCAGGCAGCCAGTCTACAGAAACTGTAAGTCTATTTTATACATGTACACATGTATGCGTCCACACTTCTTATAGGTTAACTTATCCATTAAGAAAATTAACACAGATTCATTAACTTATTCAACGAACATGTGTTGAGTGGATACTAAATGCTGAGCACCATGCAGGTGATGGGGACACAGTGACCGGCAAGAGGGACAGGGTGTCACCCACCATCTTGGGGCTTCTAATCTAGCAAGAAGACAGACATCAAAGGCTTTGTTCCAGTGGTTCTCAGCCCTGTGCAATCTGTCCAATGGGGAATATTTGGCAACATCTAGAGATATTTTAGGTTGTCACACTGTGGCATGGGGGGCAGATGCTACAGGTGTCTAGCAAGCAGAGGCCAGAGACATGGCTAATCATCGTACAGCACAGGGGACAGCCTCCCACATCACAGTGACTCAGTCCAAATTGTCAATAGTGCTGGGGCGGAGAAACTCTGCTTTGCTTAACGACCATTTTGACCAACATTCAGGAGAAGTACAGGGTTTGGGGGACAACAGTGGTGGTGGTGGGGCTGGTGGGAAAGATAAACCATGGCTACCTAGAGGGCGTGACCCTGCAGCTGGAGTTACTAAGGGAGGGGTGGGTATACCACACAGCCATGGGGCTGCCCCAGGCCAAGGGTGCAGGCTTCCTGGCCCTTCCTCAGATTTCCTCACTCCTTA